GTCTATGTTCTAGGATCTGTCGGAGAGTGAAGATATGATCTATGCACCCTCTACCTGGCCTAAAGCCCGCTTGATTTTCCCTCGTTTGTTCCTCCCGAGTTCGACTTAGGCTATGCATTATCACTGAACCTAGGATTTTAGAGACTATGTTCGTCAGGCTGATTCCTATATGATTATCACATGAGGACTTGTCTCCCTTCTTGAATATTGGTATAATAAGTGACTTACCTCAATCTGATGGAACCGTCTCTGATTCCCAGACGTTACCTAGTACCTTAGTTAAACTACATACTAGTATGTCACCCCCATATTTGAACACCTCCGGAGTGATTCCTTTGGGTCCTGCCGCTTTGCCTCGTTTAAAATTACAGATAGCTTTTGTGACCTCACTTACAGACGGCGGACCAGTGTCTATATCCCATTCGGGTGTGTGCTGGATGGCGCGGAGGTTCAGTGTGGCTGTAGGCAAGTTAAATCGTTCCTCAAAGTGTTTTATCCAGCGTTCAAGGCGTCTATAGTGAGAGCTAATTAAGGAGCCATTTTTCTCAGAAATAGTCTCACTTAGAATTCGTCTTCTCCCACCCGTTTCCCTGATGAGTTTAAAGAGTTGCCTAGCAGATACGCCTTGCTGACTGACTGGTGAGTGCCAACTAGTACGAAACCTAGGTCAAGCAAGGCTTCCTTTGGCCGATTGCCTCCAACTATCTAATATCATCGAATCAATGTGCACCGTGATGGTGAGCTACCTAGAATGGTGGCCACATCGCAAACCTGACTAATAGAATTCAGTCTGCATCAAAGTAAGGACTAGACACATCACACTAGTTACTAGTGTCTAATCAAAGTATGTTATTAGGTTTGTACATGAGGTTAACACCAGAAAATATATCACACCGATCAAGGCGCTTCACTCGAACTCCAAAGCCTCAGGATGGTCGCGGGTGGGTGCCTTGCGCTGCGGGTTGGCCACACCTCTTGAAATGCTCCCATATGATCGAGCGTCTTACATAGCCTCTCCTGAGGAAGTCCTACTCACTGCCTTCACGTGGCGGAGGTGTTTCTCACTGAAGTGAGAAGGCGAAAGCGGATGCCCGGCGCTCTTCACCGGGTTGACTGTCCATTGGATGACAGTCTAGGGGAGATGGCTAAACCCTGACTCCAAACCTCCAACGACTGGCGTATGAAGCTCACTGGAGCTCACCGGCAGACGTATGGACAAAGGGCTTGTTGGATGTCCTGGATGTCCCCTGGCCCCATTCAAAAAGGCGTATGAACCGAACTCCGGCCACCGGCTGCCAATGGATAGTGGACTCCCTACTCCACTCCTACTGCCTTGTAGGTCACACTTGGTTGTGTAAAGGCTAGAGCTGCACTCTCAAACAAAAGGCCGAGTGGTTCTGGGGACATCACTCGTACCAAATTCCCATGAAACTTCATGAACTCTCTTACAAACGACTCTCACCATGGGCAGCGATGATTCGAGATGTTCATGAAGCCGGCTCATCCTCCCGTAGGAGATAGCCGAAGCAAAGTAAAGTAAGCAAGTACTCGAACTCATGCAGACAGATCAGAGCCTGCGGATAGCTGTCATTTGACAGTTGTGATGACAACCAGTAGTATCCGTCAAGGATGCCTACTGTCCCCATTTCTCTTTAATTTCATCATAGATGTACTAATGGAATTAACCCTAACTGTTGACTTCAGCGATTTATGGAATGACTTGTTACCAGGGAATAATAGTCTCTTTGACTTAGAATATGCATGCGGATGATAGAGTCCTCCTAGGTGAGGACGCTGACAAAATAGAGCAGAGTCTTCTGAACACCTTTATCAGAAAGGAGTCTTTGAATGTGTGACGTGCGATTCGCTCCTGCTGTTGAATGTAAGATAAGGCTACATGACTGACAGGTGTACACCAACTCGTAGCTTAAGAATGGACAATGAAGTTGTAGAGTGTGGTGGTGGAAGTTGTATCAACCCCTTTAGGAGACTGATTACTGCTGAAGAAATCTCAGCACGGATACGAAAGGCTATTGTGCTATTTGCCCAACATACTTCATCACTGACATAGATATGATATCCGACTATCAGTCAAATAATGTGTGTACTGCACACCAGCAGTACTTCACTTCATCCTCCCGCCAAATGCAAGATGATGTCAAAGGATTGGACTACACCCACTCCTAGATTAGAAATAGGAAGTGAAGTGGTAGAGCACGTTGACCGCTTCACTTACTTGGGAAGTACCATCAACCAGTGCCAACGGGTTGATCTCTGACGAAATCTCAGCACGAATACAGAGGGTTATTTTCGCATATGCCAGTTTACGCCGTCTCTGGTTTAGTAGACGTGATATCCGACTATCGACCAAAGGGCGTGTGTACTGCTCAGAGCAGCAGTCCGCTCTGTCCTCCTTTATGGCTGTGAGACCTGGTCATTGAGAGTGGAAGACATGAAAAGATTAGCTGTCTTTGATCATAGATGTCTGCGTTCTATCTCGCACGTGAAGTGGTACAATAAGGTGAGCAATATTGAGGTTAGGCGTCGGTCAAGTGCTAGGTAAGGAGGGGAAATCAATCGACGAGGCTGTGAAGTTACATCGATTGAGATGGTTAGGACATGTGTTACGTATGCCTAGTCATCGCCTTCCTCGACAATGGGCAATGTTAACTGACATAGGGTCAGGCTGGAAAAGCGCTGACAGCGGTCAAACCAAAACATGGCACCAATCAATGAAATCTACAACAGTTACCTTAAGCCAGCTACGTGGGAAGGTGTAGACTGGCTTCCTGACTGGTTGGGGTCCTCGGGACTGTAAAAACCAATGGTTGGAAACAATTGGTGACATGGCTCAAAATCGTTCTCAATGGCTGGTGCAGATGCATCCACTCCTTGTGACTTATGATTTCTTCGTTATTACTATACCTTTGTCTCATACCTCTGTTTACTGTCTGTATTATGCATTTCTCCTACTGCCTTCTCTTGGTTTGTGTGCTACAAGGAGGGAGTGTGGCGAGTTGAACTGCCGCACATATGTGCAAAATTCTATGTCGAAAACAGACAGGCACACGGAAATCCTCCTTCATCATGGCAGTGAGACATGATCAATGAAAGCGGAAGACAAAAAAAGGCCGGCTAACTGTCTTTGATCATGGATATATATCTGCGCTCTGTCTACCGTGTTAGGTGGTTGGTGTAATAGGATGAGTATTTCTGAGGTCAGGTGTCGGTTGAGTGTTAGATGAAGAGGGTAAGTCAATCGATGAGATTGTGAAGCTACTTCGATTGCGATGGGGTTAAAGCATGTATTACACACATGCAAAGTCATCGCATTCCTCGACGAGGAGTGTTAGCTGACATAGGTTTAAGTTGGAAAAAGCCTAGTGGTGATCTTACCAAATATCATGGGATCAGTCCACAAAATCTCTAACAATTAGTTTCAGCCAGCAATGTAGGAAGGTGTAGACTACGTCGTTGGAGGAGGGAGTGTGTGTTTGTGTGTCGTCACGATGCCAAGATCCAATGGCGGTGACTGTGGAGACAATTGGTAACATGGTTCGAAATTGTTCTCAATGCCTGATGCTGATGCATTCGCTAACTGTAATCTCCCATACTGCATTGAATAAACCTTTGTGTTTCTCCACCATATTGGTTATCTTTCTTTTCCCCTTCGTAGGATTTTTGTTTCTTAGACTTCTTTTGGATCTCTTTCGTTTGTTTGTTTTTTCTTGTCTTCATTTGTGTGCTACACATGTATGTAGTATGACAAGTTGGTGCACTTCTTCCATATCAGTTTGTTTATTAGATATATCACACATTGTAACAGTAGTATTTACTGGATGACGTTTCGAACAAAATTTATTGTTCATAATCATATCAATTGTGATCACACGACTTTGACACTTGAGTTTAATAGTTTTCTCTGTTGTCGCCAATTTGTCGTCGTCGCAGGAGTAGAATTTTCCAGATATCGGGGACAGGTGATGAATCATTCCTATTACATGTATTTGCAGTTGATTCGATAAACAAAGCTACTGTTATCAATCTATCCCTCCACCCTGTGACATTAGATTTTAAAACTGTCATCCTATCCCATCCTATTGTATGGTTGTGTGTAGCTGCATGTAGTCAGTGCTATAGCTGAACTATTCTCTAGATTTCTTATTTTATTCGGGTCAACTGAACTAGGTTTTGCTAGGTTTTTATGTTCAGCTTGTCTGACCGCCCCTGTTCTACTAGTTTGACCGAAGTATTTCACCTGACAGTCATTGTAGAGTATTAGATAGACTAAATTGTTTTGTTTTAAAGGCTCTACTGGATCCTTTAACCGACAAAGCTTGTTTGTAATTGAGTTTGTGGTTAGTCTGAATGCCATTTTTATTCCTGCTTTCCGAGGTTCCTTCCTTGTATGGAATTACTACTGATGATTTAGATTCCTTATTGTTGGCGTCGTCATTAATATTATTATTATTATCACTATTATTATTATCATTATTACTGTTATCATTATATATTGTTATTATCACTATCGCTACTATCATTATTTATTTTATTTTTACATTCCCTTACATATTTCCTGACTAATTTATCCGGGTAATTATTAAGTTTCAAGGCTTCTTTATGTGTTTCAGTTCCTGTTTTAGATTTTCTTTGGTACTACTTAGTTTTTGTGCTCTATCATTTAAACATTTCAAAGAAAACTATAATACTCAAGTTTCAAAGTCGTGTGATTACAATTTATGATATGATTATGAACCACAATAAATTTTGTTCGAAACCTTGTCATCCAGTATGTAATAATCCTGTTTCACTGTGTGTGATATATCTAATAAACAAACTAATATGGAATTACTTACTACCACAGTGCCCAAGTTTTACACATATATTGGTGCACTTCTGTGCAAATTTCTAGGTTGAGTTTCATCCAGTCAGTCAGTCAGTTTGTGAATTTTTAATTCTTTACGCTTTGTTTCAATTGAATATTTCAATTTTTTTTTCAGATATTTCATTGGTACAAGTTTATCAACGTTTACATTTCGTATTGTTGAAGAAAGAACAATCATGGGGTTTTCAGCTAATACCACATTGAATAGTCTATGTTCAAATGGCATTTTACAATTGTATAGATCGAATCAAGCAATGAATGAACAGTTGTCATCTACTTCCTCCTCCACCGCCGCCTCCTCCTCCACCTCTTCGTCTTCTAATTGTGAAGGGTTAACTGAATGGCCAGTTATCTATGAGAAACAATATACTGTGTCATCGACGCAATCTACAGCATCAATTGGGGATGAAATGCATTTAGATAATAAGAGGAGGATTAAAGAAGAATTGTGATATTGATTATGGGAGAGTGTGACGAGGTTACATCTATATCGATCTATCTGTCTGTCTATCGCTCTCGCCCCCTGTCTGCCTCTCTCTCTCTCTCTCTTTATCCCTACACCCTTTCCAATTAAAAAAGCCCATTCTATCCTTTTGTTGTTCACTTCACCTTCAATCAGGAGGGTGCCATCTCATAGACATCTATCTGCCTTTTAGATTATTTTCATGCTTTTGTTTTGTTTGTTGGGTTTTTTTTTAAAAAAAATATATGACAGAAAAATACAATCCGAAGAAATACACACACACACGCACACGTTGATTCCTGTTATTTCTGTTTTCAATAAATACTACTTAGTTAGTTGCTCAAATTGGGCACTAGTCAGTAACTAGTGTAATATAGTCTAGTCTAGTCCCTTGTTTGGTGCATATTGAATTCTATCAATTAGTTAAGTTTGCAATGTGGCCACCATGGCCACCAGACTGACTCACCACTCATGGTGCACTACACTTTGAATTGTTGATGATATTAGATGGATGTGGTTGGAGGCAATATCATCAGCCAATGGAGAAGACTTGCTTCACCTAGGAGGTTTCGTGCTAATTGGCACTTGTCAGTAAGGCGTATCTCTGCGTGCTTGAAGGAACTCATCTTCGTGGACACTTAATGCTAGTTACTACCAGTTGGTGTCCAATCAAAGTACCCATTACACAATCATACAGAAGGTGAATCGTGAGCCCGAATAGCTGGAGAACTGGTAAAGTCTCTGACTTCAGGACTCACTGGATGACGCAGTTTCGAATCGCATAATTACCTTCAAGGTTGTAGATACTCCCTGCTGGCTGATGAGTACCAGCTTGCAAGAAAACTAAGTACAAGGCTTCCTGCCGATTGTCTCCAAACATCTAATATCAACTTATATACTTAATGAATATATGTGGAAAACTTGGGCAATGTGATGGTATATAATTCCAGTGGGAAGTTGTGACTAGTAGGGTGCAGCAGGTCCGGTGTGAGGACAAATACTCGCCGAAGACATTGGCTAGCCGTCGCGTTATATCGTGAATTGGCAGAAGTTAGAATTCATGGTCTGAATATTGGATCGGGTCCCAGTGGCTTAATGGTCTACGAGCTCGCCTGGCCTTGTAACCAGAAGGTCCTGGGTTCGAACCCTGTCGGTGGGTGCGTACTAGTGAAGAGTCCCAAACTGGGACGAAACAGCTGTCTAGTACTCCCAGGTTTTCCAATGGTTCTCTAACTGATGTCAGCTCATGATGAAATCCTGTAACTAATTCCATAATAATTTGTTTATTGAATATATTACACAGCTAAATAGCATCACTGGATGACGAAGTTTCGAATACAATTTGTTTTTGTTCAGAATCTTATCACCAGTTGTAAATAGACAACTTCGAAAAACTTTCGTTTTACAGTTTTCTTTATTTCATTCTATTCATCGTAGGGGTGATGGTATTTTTCTGGTGTCAAGGTGTGTACAGGTTTTGAATCATTTCTGTCCCACTATTATTATTTTCAGTTGATTCGATAACTTAAACTTTCGTTATCAATCTTTCCTTCCACCCTGTTATGCTACATATTAGATTATTATTATTATATTATTGTTTCCTTTAATTCGTACAGGAACATAAGGCTTCAGCTGTGCGCCTCCATTCCGTTCGGTTCTCTGCTAGAGTCTTCACCTGGCTCCAAGTCTACCCACACGTTTTCATCTCCTCTTCACATGACCTCCTCCAAGTCACCCCCACACTGACGACCAAATCGCCGCTTCCCATTCTGTTGGGTTCCACTCGAGCAATGGCTTGTCTAGTGATGTCACTTGACGATTTGTTTTCTCAGAGTATGGCCAATCCATCTCCATTTCTTCCTGCCTATTTGTTTCACAATCTGTTGGTTCGCTCATTGCCAGAGGTCTCTGTTGCTGATCTATTCTGGCCAGCTGGCCATCTGATCTTGAAGTAGTATTGAGAGAAGACAACTGTTAATGAAGGTCTGTAGTTTGTTTGAGATGCTCTTTATGACGCGCAGTGCAAGTCTCTGATCCATATAGTGAGTAGCACTGACTTCACATTGCAGCTGAATATCCGGATCTTATTTTTCATTCTGAGCAGTGCTGTTGACCTCCACACAGACTTGAGAGTAGTGAAAGCTTGTCTTGCTTTTCCGATGATTCTTGCTTTGATATCCTCGTCAGTTCCGCCTGTTGTTGAAACGATGCTTCCCAGGCAGGTGGTAGAGGAGGTTGTTTCCTTCAGGTTCTTCCCAATTTTGCTGATCGTTGTCTGTTGTTGTTGCTCTTGTCCAGGAATTACATATTAGAACTCATCTTATCCCATCCTATTTGTGTGAAATTACAAGTAGTATGTGCTATGGCTGAACTATTCTCCTGATTTTTTCTCTTATTAGGGTTAACTAATCCAGATTTTGTACTCCGCTGGTCTGACCGACTCCGTTCTACTCCTACTCTAATCTATGTATTTGTTCTTTTAGTCATTGCAGGTTGGGTATTAGATAAACTAAATTGTTTTGTTTAATGGGTTGTTCTACAAGATTCTTTAACCGACAAAACTTGTTTCTAAGTGAGTTTGTGGATGGTTTGAATGTTTTTTTCTCATTCGTGCTTTGTTAAGAATTGCATGTAAGGTTTCCGAGATTCCCTTGTCAAGGAACTTAGCCGTAAGTTCCTATTGTAATGAAGACGTAGGCGATTGAACCGATAAATACTATGTATTTCCTTCAACTTTAAATCCAAAACACCAGTATTCCTTGAATGAAATGTTATTGTTTGGCAATTAAAGTGAAGACAACTACAAAGTCTGCAAACAAATGTTAAGTACAAATGAAGTTATAAAGTACTTTTATTCGTTTTTGTTCCCGTCTTCATTCAACTTGCAAGCGATCGAACCATTCGCGCCTTCGAGTTGCCCACCAATGGCTGCCAGTTCCAATAAACAAACGTTCAATGTTCACGTCCATTGACACTCCCCGGCAAAAAAGGGTCCATCCCTTTTTCCACAGCGGCGGTAACCTTGAACTGAACTGCCAATGCGGGAACCTGGGCCAATAGGGACTAGGCTAAAATTGGAAAAGCAAGACAAAAAAGCCCAACACACAACAAACATACCACATCACACCGACACGCTCTCCCCGGCGCATGGGATCTACGCTCTCTGACGACAATACCACCACTGATCTCGTTCACGAAGTATCGATTGCTTCATTCCACTCTAGCCCAATCCTCTCCCCGGCGTATCCAATCGCGTACGCTGACTCTAACACTACTCGATTCGTTCACAAGTTTAGAAGCGAATTCAGAAGTACTTACAAAAACATTACAAGATGATTCACACAATGCGACAACTATAAAATTAACCGACAATCAGATGAATCGGAACCCACTGAATTACTCAACACAAATATATGTACAATCAATATATCAAATGTTGCGGATTCTGCCTTGACGAGCTACCCTTGAAGAACTGTAGGACTTACAGCAGTACGCCTACATTCCTTCTCAGGTTGACGATCCAAGTGGAAGACGTCCGGACACAAACAAAATTAATCAACAGATAGAAGAGGGATGATACCAATTCATTATATACAACATGAACATATGTACAAAATAATACACCAAGTACGATGGACTGCTCTTCGACGTACTACCCTTGAAGAATTGTAGGACTTACAGCAGTACGCCTACAACCCTTCTCAGGTTTACGCCCTTAAGTTGGAAAATCGTCGTTGAGTTCATTTGCTGACCTCCTTCCATCATCTATATCCTCAACTCTGAATGGTAACACGCCCATGACATTGTATCGTGGAATGTAGATGACTAACAAACATATGACATATCTGACCAACCAAGCGAAGGTACAGAGTAATTTGCACCAAAGATAATAACATTCAAATAGTAGTTTGAAACCTGAAATACCTTTATTCGTGCAAGTCACTCTCACTATTATCCTCTTGTACACAGTTGATTTATCGTCACTAAACTGGCCATTGACTTTCGTCCCTTCGAACGGACCGACACTAGCATAATCACTGCATAAGACACGTGGGTTCATGGACGGCTCTTTTACTGCATATGACAACACCAACGACGACTGACTGACACCAGTTGATGAACTTAGCGGTGTATCAGAAGCTGTTGTTGTTAGACCTTTAGGAGGTTGTCTGACCGCAGGATTACCACCACTGCAATCGTTAATGATTAGCTCCAGTTTAGCATTAACATCTGTCGATAGGTGGACTACACGCGAATCATTTACACTGACGGTCTCACGATTATCCATATCTGCAGCAACCGCATCTGCCTTTAATTCTACTTCACTTTCAAGTTGTACAGAACCTTTGTTCAACTCAGTAGTAGTAGGCATTCCGCTAATCTCATCATGATCAGCCACAGACAAATGTGAACTATCGTGACCATTGTCACAAATACCCACTTTACCGCCGACTGTATGATCGATTTCATCATTTTCAAACTCTTTAATAACAGCCGTAGATGACTTAGGTTCTTCCTCATGAATCCTTAAAGGTTTAATTCCTTTACTCTGACTAGTAATACCTTGTAAACTTGTGGAATCAGAACTGGACATTGAAACTGTAACCCTCTTCTTATGCACAAACTGCGGTGTCGTCTGAGACACTCTTTTCAACAATGGATTACCAGTTACGACTACAGGCTTCTTCACCGCACCATTATCGTCACACGATTCGGAGTCAGAACACGATGACGCTGACTTCACATTTAGCTTGCCACTAAACTTGCTCATTGCTTCACAGTTCGCCTTTGTATGCACTTCTTGCAAACGGACGAAGCACAACCGTGTTTGTCTTGCAGCTTGTAACTTATCCGTTGGGGACGTCCCACTAAAGCTGTCACAATCATTAGGTTTACTAGACACCATACAGCTTTCTCGATATCCACTACGCTGAGACCCCTTCGTCATAAATGATTGCATTTTACTCTCTGATTTCTCTATTCCAGGGGTAGGATGCAGTATACTAGGAAACTTGCTCAAAGCTTGGTTGACACTGTCTTTCACCAGGCTCACAATGTCATCCAACCCGGGCTCTAAACCCTCCTCCTCTAGACGTGAACAAACCTTTATGAACTTCCTTTGTAGACGAACAGGTAATCTCTTGGCAACAGTCTCAAGCACGGAACTTGAGTTCAATTCATCTACGCAGTTAAAAGACATGAGTGTATTTCTCTATACCATCAAATTATCCA